TTTAAGGTGCTTTTTAAAGCAGATTTGAAGAATATTTTAGTTGAATTTATCTATTTTTCCTTTTATAGTTCCAGATTTCTGTGTCATGGTTACAAAGGCCTTCCCCCCACTCTGAGATACTTTTAAAAAGTTCTCACATGGTGTCTTCTAGTACTTTTACAATTTTACTTTGTACATTTAAACCTTTGATTTTTTTTTTTTTTTTTTCTTGCAATGAGTGAGGAATGACTCCAACCTTCTCTTCCCTGGATGGCGACCCTATTGTCCCAACATCACTGACTTAATCATCTCCCCCCCCAACCAACCAGTCATTCCATTACCCAGTTTAACATACATAAATGCCCATATTTCGGGGCTGATTCCTGTCTTTCTATTTATACCTCTGATCACTCTGCCTAAAATCCAGCATTTCTGCCACACTGTTTTAACTACAGTAGCTTTATAATGTGTTTAAGGGGCTTCCTTGGTGGTGCAGTGGTTGAGAGTCCGCCTGCCGATGCAGGGGACGCGTGTTTGTGCCCCGGTCTGGGAAGATCCCGCATGCCGCGGAGCAGCTGGGCCCGTGAGCCATGGCCACTGAGCCTGCGCTTCTGGAGCCTGTGCTCTGCAATGGGAGAGGTCATAACAGTGAGAGGCCTGCATACCACAAAAAATAAAATAAAATATAATATAATGTGTTTAATATCTGTTGGGGTTAATTCCCCTCTTTATCCCAACACTCCCTTTTGGATTTTGTTAGTTATTCCTCCTGGAAGTTTGTTTTTCCTCATGAACTTCAGAATCCACTCATTTCTCCCTCAAAAGTCATTTTCATGATTTGAATTTGACTGTGATCACCCTGTGGATGAATTTAGGAGATGGCATCCTTGTGATGTTGAGTCTTGCTTTCTATGGGGGAACATGGCATGCCTTTCCAACCATTCCAGCTTTCTTCTGTGCCCCTCGGTGGTATGGTAAGTTCTCATGAGTCCTCTAAGTGTATTCCTAGGTGTTTCATGTTGTGCTGTCATGGCCGTGCAGACGGGATATTCTCTGTGTCGTATCTCCTAAGGATGTGGCCCTAAACAAAAGCTATTGATGTTTGAACTTACCCATGAGCTCAGCCATGTTGCTGAATTCTCTTCCTGGGGTACGAGGAGTTCAGTCCATTTCTTGGGGTTCCAGGCTTATAATCCCAACATCTGCAAGTACTGACAACTGGCTTTCAATGCGTGGCCAGAGGGTGCAGGGTCTCTGCACATGGGTGGGAGGAACGCCTCTGTTCCCCACTGCCTCTGCCACGCTCCTTGGACTGATCTGGGGGTCTGATGGAGTGGGAGAAGCAGTTAGGGCTGTTTGTAGGCCTTTGTGAGCCCCTGAGACCGGGTGACAAAGGGACTTGGAGAGGATGAGACCCCCAGCCTGGCTCTGTGTAGGAGGTTCTGGGAGCGTGGGCCGTGACCCTAGGTGGGTGCCTTCTTCTAGACGGTAGGATGGCAAAGCCACTAGGGGCTCTTGAACTTGGGGGCTGAGAAGGGCAGTGTCCCACAGATCCCTTCCTGAGCACCCATGCTCCCCAGAGGGCTCCCAGAAATAACTGGGGTGGGAAGAGGGGGTCAGCACAAATGTCCCCGCACCTCGTTCTTCCCCAAGGCCAGGGAGGGAGGATCTTTAGGTGACCCAGGTTCTGGCCTTTACTCCTCACAAGGCCTGCCCACAGGGAGTTAGATTTTCATGTTAACTGTTTGAAAATAAGTACAGAAAAAGTCAGGAGGGGTCGTGTATGGATCTGGACGCTTTAAACAGGCTCGGTTGATGGTGACATTTATTATGGGCCTTGCGCTGAGCTGCATGCCCTGGCCAGTAACCAGCCCTTCAGAAGTATCCATTTTTGGTGTTTATATCAATGTATTTTATGCTCTGCAGTAGAGTCTTGGGGCTGCCTTGACAAAGTGCCACAGGCTGGGCGGCTCAAAAAATAGTTGTTTATTTTAGTCTTATACTCTGGAGGTTTGAAGTTCAAGATTGAGGTGTGGGCAGGGCTGGTCCCTCTGAGGCCTCTCTCCTGGGCATGTAGATGGCCTTCTCCCCGTGTCCTCACATGATTGTCCCTCTGTATGTCTGTGTCCTAATCTCCTCTTCTTGTAAGGACTCCAGTCATCTTGGATTAGGGCCCCACCCCAATGACCTCATTTTAGTCTTATCACCTCTTTAAAGACCCACCTCCAACAGAAGTCACATTCTGAAGGGCTGTGGGTTAGGACTTCAACTTATAAAATTTAGGGGGACATGATTCAACCCATAAAATTCACCAACATGACTCATACCTAAAGCATCTCAAATTTGGTGCTAAAAGAAGACTTGCTTCAGTGGAAAATTATGACGGCTCTTTCTTCCCAGAGACACTTAGCAGTGTTTGCAGGGATGGGTGGCCCCAGACCTGTGGCTGAGGGCTTCTCTGTCACAGGCATGAGCTCAGGCCCCTCAATTCCTTTGCAGCCCAGCCCAAGGCCAGCTCATCCCCCCCGCTTTCAGCCCCCTCTCATCTTCCGAAGGAGCCAAGTACTGGCCAGGAGAAGCCCCAGTCACTGTGCCGCAAAGTTATTAAACAACATTAACCTCCACCGTGTGGGGGGCAGCAAGCAAAACACGGTGGAGGGCTCCTTTCCAGGTTTGTGTTTTCAAGCTCACAGGTGAGGAAATCAAAGAGATAATGTGGGCGGGGTCGGAGGTGGGCGCCAGTGGGCAGAGGACATCTATTTCCAGATGACGTCAGCAGGGCTCAGACTAGGCTTGTAAACACCCGACGACCAGCAGGGCCAAAGGAAAGAGGAAACAGGAGAGTGCTCAGAAATCTTTCT